GGCCCCCCCCCCCCCCCCCCCCCCCCCCCGGAGCACTGCTTTACCGCGTTTTATCAGAATTTGTGTTATATCAAGTCGCGTTATATCGGGGTAGAGGTGTACCACTATCAGACATAGCTATAATTACATTGTATTTGTGGCCAAAGGCTCAATGTTGCTCTGAACTTAATTCTTTCAGCCATCAGCAGAGAGAATTATGTACACAATAATGCAAAGCCCAGGATTCTTTTGAATTGAAAAGCAACATTTTTCAGAGAAATGGACTTCATCCTTACTAAAACAAGTCTGACTACTAGTTGTATGGAAAGTAATCTGCCTAGCCTTTTAGATCAATGAAAGAGGGACAAGAAGAAGAATATAAGGGAGGTTCCTGGATCCCTAATTAAGACCCCAAATACTTACACGTGTGCTTAAGTTTACTATCATGAGTCACCCAACTGAAGTGAGTGGGACTGTTCACAGTTAAGCACAATAAGTATTTGTAGGATCAGGGCCCAATGATAGAGAAAGGGTGAATAAAGGGAAGGTAAGAAGAGAAAGTGCTACAGAAATGTTAAATCTTTTATACCACATCTAGAAATACTGTATGCATATGACTGCTGAATACTTTTTCATTGGTAAACATTAAAATAGCAGAGATACGGTTGAACAAGGAAAAATGGAATTTACATGGTATAAAACTCTTGAATAGATAAGTAAATACTTTTAAATAACAAATCTAGTAGAGAGGAAGATTCTGAAACCTATAAAAATAAGTGTTAAAACAGATCATTAAAACAACATTAAACTGGTCAAACTGGACAGAATACTCAAACAATACATTTAGCAAACATATCTGTAGTACATGAACGGTAAAAATGAGAAAGTGGGTCAAATGCAGCCCTGGTGTAAACAGGCAAAACTCCACTGAAATCAGTAAAGCTGTACCTGCTTATATAAGGGCTGGATTTGAAAAATGGGGAAAAGATTTCTCTCAACTACACCTGTGCAAATGTGAGCTATTGATTTTATTATCTGTGCTGCAGTAGTGCTTAGAGTCCCCGACAAGAGACAGGGACTCACTATGCTAGACACTGCACACATATAATAACGAAAATACAATCCCTGCTCCAAAGATTTTACAATCTTTCTCTAAAGTTACAGTGGTGTAACTGAGAGCAGAATTTTGCTCAGAGTTGATAGCAGAGAATGTGAGGAAGTAATAGCATTGGTAAGCAGTTTTGTAGACGGAAGAGTTAGATAGTACACAAGTAACACAGGAAATGGAAATGAAAGACTACCATTGACAAAGTACTAGGTCCAGATAAGATACAGTATGTGTATGTGTGATAAAGGACATGGGGATAAAAATCAAGCAGATCTTAATCATCATTTTTGACATTGTCTGATGGCAGTTTAGATTTCTGAGGAGTGGCTGACACATACATAACACTTATCTGAAGAAAAAGTGTCAGACATCTAAAGATGTAGTGCCAGTTCCTGTTCCCATTGAAATCAATGGCAAAATTCAACATTGACTTCAATTAGCCAGGATTTGACTCAAGTCTAGAAAAGGCCACAAGCTGAAATAAACGAGTTATTTAAATGAGCAAGTTAAACTAGACACAGGTTGGGATAACTCTGACACTCCACTCCCATATGTGTCTGCACTGTGAAAAAGGAGAGGAAAACACAGACATCCACTGAAAAAAAAATCTAAATAAGTGTGTCTTATTTAACTTGCCCATTTCCCACAGTCCTTTTAAACATAAGCTCCCATTGACTTCAATGAGAGATTTGTAGGTGAAAGGGCATGGGTAGCCTGTTGTTGGCTGGGTTCTAATTTATACAAATCACATCTTCATTCAGGTAACTGTTTCTTATTGTACCTTTTAGTCAGACTGACCTTACTCACAATGAAGAGTACCTTACACAACTAACTGAAACAAATGAGACTTCCTGTGGAGTAAGTTACTAATCACTGAGACTTTTAGTCACAAACCAACCTTCAGTTGTGGGGGTTTTTTTTAGATGTTAAATGCAGATGATCACACAAAGTAGGCATAGTGTTCTTCTTCGATCTAGCCTGGAATAATTAATATGAATCTTAATTACATCAAATATGCATGTAGGTTAAGTCACAAAACCACCTCATGCTATCCAATAAAACCCCAAGAGGAAGTGAGTTGCTCACAGAGCAATAAGAAGCAGAGTAGAACTGAGCTGACAGACAGTATTTGCTCTAGAGAAACAAGAAACATGAAGTCTATGGTGCCTTTAGGCTTGATTGTAGCTACTTTTGCTCTTACTTCTTCTCGCTGTTTTGACAGGTAGAGCATTCTCGCTTTAACTGAACCTGGATAGAAACATTTTTGATGCTCAGATCTGTTACTCATTTCTTTCCTTTATGTTTTGAAGTGCAACGGTATTTCGTGTGAAGCCTCAGAATGAAAAACAAGTGAACTTCTTGAAGTACTTGGCCAGCATTAAACAGGTGAGAAATTTTACAGGGGATTTGGGTTCTGGTTATTCAATACCTGGTATGTTGTGGTGTGGAAATTTTTAAATGACACTATATTACAAGACAATGTCATATTTTTATTGAGTTCTGACAACGTGCTCGGGACTGTACAGACATTAAACAAGACACAGCCCTTATCCCCAGGGGCTTCCAATCTAGTTTAGAGACAGATAAAGCAGTTAAGACATCACAGACAAATTCTGCACTAACATATATATGCACAGCTGCCATTGAACTCAATGGAGGTTGCAATCAAGTTTCTGAAGACAGAGGACTCTACACGCTATCCTCTGCTCCACAGGGTAAACTAATGCACCCCAAAAAGCCCCTACTCCCACAGAGGTGGTCAGAGCAGCAGCTCTGCTGAATTCTTCCCCATAGTCCTAGACTATTCAAAAGCTCTTTCTCTTTGCAGACTAGACAGATTTCCAACCGGAAGTTTCTGCTGATTGGACAAAGATACAGAGATCTTGAGGGATCCATGGATTTAATGGGGGAAAAATCCCATGCCAATTCTGAGGAAAACCCATTTCTCTTCCCAGATGGAATGAATCAGAGGAAAATATTTTCTAGCTGCTATGTGGCCTTTATGTTAACATAAGGGTTTTCTACATACAGAGCCTTTTAGAAAGTACTGTACCTGGCATTTCAGTATTATAGCAACTCCAGAGCTATTTTACTTAGGGGTCTATGAGAAATTTATAAATCATAAATAAGTCATAAAATGTTGCTCTCGTGTGAACCTTAGCATAAAAAGGTTTCTGTTCAGAAAAGAGGGCACTAAAATAGATATATGGCAGATTCAGCTGCTTTCAGCACACTTATCTTTCCATATCAACCCTTGGGTTTATGTATGATCAAGATGTTTATAAAGCAAAAATGTAAAACAGTTTTTGAAAACCATGCAGGGGTTCCATTGACATTTTAATGGAACTGTTATGACTTCAGTGGCAGCATGACAAGCTGACTTTTCCACACTGTGTAGCCTAAGGACTTTTCAAAAACTATGTTGCTGTAATTAATCCAAATAAATAAAAGCAACAAGAAGCACCAGTTTATAATCAAAATAACCCCAAAGTGCTAGGAAATTTTTTCAAATTAAACATATTTTTCCTCCCCACATCAAGAAAACATCTAAAGTCACTTAAAAATACTGAACAAAATTGGACCATATTTTAGGAGACTACAAAAATATATTGTTTGAAAGTTTCCATAATTTTCAGCATGATGCAATGTAAATTGTATGCAATCTACATCTCCAAAAAGAGGTGTTGATCTTGGAATGCCTAACACATTATTAATTATGCAGATAAAAATGAAATGCTGTGCATTTATATAATAACTTCTGGTGAACCTGGTCTTTCTCCCATTGAAGTCAATGTCAACATTCTCTTTTTGGAATGGGAATTTTGCCATTGGCTACAATACCAAAAGGATTGTGACTTCTACTGTAATATTAAAAGAAGTTCTACTAACATCTAAACAGCAGCAGAACTGGAGCATCACCTTTTCATAAAAACAGGGGATGAATCTTAGATTCACGCTTGCGTGTTTTAAATGAAGGACCCTCCTAATCCAGCTCTAATTGAAACCAATAGGAGTTAGAGCAGACAAGTAATGCCTTTTCATTGGGGCCCCAGTTTCACTTTCTTCGGGTTTGTAGGTATCCTGAAACATGTTTTGTGCAACTGGAGCAATGATACAATTGCAGTTCTCTTCTCCCGTTTGCCTTCAAGGGAGTATTTTAGGAAAAAATATTATTTTTAAATCATAATCTAAAATTACACCAATTATGAATGGTCCTTCAAAGCAGACTCGAACTTCTGAGATGGTTCCATTCTCAGAAATATATAGAAATAGGGCTTTATTTCAAAGAGAAAACAAAACACTGACCTATAATGGTTCTCCTGAGCATTAAACTACTCACCATTCACAAGTGCACGCTTGACTTTGACTACATACTAAAATGAGACACTTTGAATTTCTCCCTGTGCAGCTTGACTTCTGGCACCCAGATTCAGCCCCTCATATAGTCACTCAGATGCAGGTGGATTTCCATGTCAGTGCGCATCAGTCTAGATCTGTCCAGATCCTCATGGAGCAGAATGAAATACAATATGAGTAAGTTTTACTTAATTATTCTAGCCCAATGGAGAATAAAAGGAAGTTGTCTGGAGACCAGTGGGGAGGTTTTCAGAAACACCTAACTGTCTAAGGAGCGCACGTCCCTCTGACTTTCAATTAATCCCATATCTGTTGCACTCCACTCAAACAAGAAAACCTTTAGACAGGAATACCATTGTATAGGGTTGTGAAATGTCCAAGGATTTAGATTTTACTTTGGTTCCGAGTGCTAAGAATTTTGCATCAACCTTAGTTTACCCAAACCACTTCTCTGATTTGTTTTAATGCTATAGAATCCCAACAACACAACAAAGCCCCCTAATCTTGTAAAGGATGCATGGGGCAGACCCTTACGCAAACATGGAGTCCCACTGACTTTGATGAGCATTGTGGGTGCTCTGTACTGAAAATCAAGCCCAGTGTGTCCTCAGATGGATATCCACAAAAAAAAGGAAATTTGGGTGTTAATCGGCTTGTCACCATCTGTAAAATGAGGATAATAATTACATCACGGTGAGACTTAATTCGTAAGTGTGTGCAAGTGCTTTGACGTCCTCAGATAAAAGACCCTAGAGAAATAGCACACGCTATTAATATAGTGGGCTCAGCAGAAAGAGAATGATTGAGTACCTAGAGACCTACAACTTTCTTCAATGCTTTAAGCCATTGTCTGAAGTAAACTCAACTATACTAAAAATAATGTCCTGGAAGAGTATTATCTTTCTGAACCAAGTACAAGGACTTTACTGCAGTTAGTCTATATGGCGTTTTTCCTATGGCTTGATAATACTATGTTATTAAATATACCTGATGAGAGAGGAAGGATGGTCCAGTAGTTAGAGTGCTAGCCTAAGACTCAGAAAATCCACAAGCTCAATTCCTTGCTCTGCCACAGAATTTGTGTGTGACCTTGGGCTCTTAGGGCTTCTCTACACTTAAAACACTACAGTATGCTTAGTGCCCTTAGATCTAGTATGGGTGCTCCACTGTAGGCGCATCTATGCCCCTGTGCCTCTAATCGGAGAATTTTGGTAGCAGTCCATTTGGCCCACACATGCGCCCTCCCTCCCTCATGCTCTGCCATAAGGCTATCTAGCGCTGCGCAGGCCAACTGCCCTTGGTTCCTTCTCAGCCGCCCTTGGCCTGAGACGGAACGAGTAGCAGTCCAGTTCACTCACTTATGTTATATTTAATAGTGTTAGTTTATAGTTCTTCTTAGAGTTTCCATTCTTTTTTGTAGTACTTTAAAGTTTCCATTCTTCAATTCTAAAAAAAATAAAAATTATTTTGATTGGTTTTCCCACCTTTGTTGTGAGATTGCCCCCGTAGGAGCATGCTTGGTTCCCCTGGCTTTAAAAGGTCCCTCTCCTGCAGGAAAGCAATTCCCATAACTGACAGACACTCTTGCTGCGTCCGGTGCCTTGTAGAGGGACACATCCAGCAGAAGTGCACCTTTTGCCACCAGCTGGAAGCTAGGTCCCGAAAGAACTGGGAGCTAAAGCTGAAATTCCTCCTCATGGACGGCACTCTTAAACCAGCTCTGATCCAGTCCTAAGTCCTCTCCAGGATGCAGATCATCCCCAGAGCTATCTGGCACTCTATTGGCAATATATGTAGAACATGCACGCTATAATGTCTAGTATCAGGGGGTAGCCGTGTTAGTCTGTATCCACAAAAACAATGACACATGAAGAGACGGGACTTACCTCACAAGTGGAGAACCAGTGTTGACAGAGCCAATTCGATCAGGGTGGATGTAGTCCACTCCCAATAATAGATGAGGAGGTGTCATTTTCAGGAGAGGCAAAGCTGCTTTTGTAATGAGCCAACCATTCCCTGTCCCTATTCAAGCCCAAATTAATGGTGTTAAATTTGCAAATGAATTTTAGTTCTGCAGTTTCTCTTTAAAGTCTGTTTCTGAAGTTTTTTTGTTCAAGTATAGCTACTTCTAAATCTGTTATAGAATGTCCAGGGAGATTGAAGTGTTCTCCTACTGGCTTTTGTATGTTACCATTCCTAATGTCCGATTTGTGTCCATTTATTCTTTTACGTAGGGACTGTCCGGTTTGGCCAATGTACATGGCAGAGGAGCATTGCTGGCACATGATGGCATATATAACATTAGTAGACGTGCAGGTGAATGAGCCCTTGATGGTGTGGCTGATGTGGTTGGGTCCTCTAATGGTGTCGCTAGAGTAGCTATGGGGACAGAGTAGGCAACGAGGTTTGTTACAGGGATTGGTTCCTGGGTTAGTGTTTCTGTGGTGTGGTGTGTAGTTGCTGGGGAGTATTTGCTTCAGGTTGGGGGGCTGTCTATAAGTGAGGACTGGCCTGCCTCCCAAAGTCTGTGAGAGTGAGGGATCGTTTTCCAGGATAGGTTGTAGATCGTTGATAATGTGCTGGAGAGGTTTTAGCTGGGGGCTGTATGTGATGGCCAGTGGTGTTCTGTTATTTTCCTTGTTGGGCCTGTCCTGTAGTAGGTGATTTCTCGGTACCCGTCTCGCTCTGTCAATCTGTTTCCTCACTTCCCCAGGTGGGTACTGTAGTTTTAAGAATGCTTGATAAAGATCTTGTAGGTATTTCTCCCTGTCTGAGGGATTGGAGCAAATTCGGTTGTATCTTAGGGCTTGGCTGTAGACAATGGATCGTGTGATGTGTCCTGGATGGAAGCTGGAGGCATGTAGGTAAGTATAGCAGTCAGTAGGTTTCCGGTATTTTGGTGTTTATGTGACCATCACTTATTTGCACTATAGTGTCCAGGAAGGGGATCTCTTGTGTGGACTGGTCCAGGCTGAGGTTGATGGTGGGGTGGAAACTGTTGAATATTGGTGTAAAGAGCTTCTACAGGCCACTATCCTCAGACAGACAAAAACCTACAAGATCTTTATCAAGCATTCTTAAAACTACAATACCCACCTGGGGAAGTGAGGAAACAGATTGACAGAGCGAGACGGGCACCCAGAAATCACCATCTGCTCAAGAAACTCCCTGCTACAGCACAGGAACAAATCTACATGGACACACCCCCAGAGCGCTGACCAGGGATATTCTATCTGCTACCCAAGATCCATAAATCTGGAAACCCTGGATGCCCCATCATCTCAGGCATCGGCACTCTTACAGCAGGATTATCTGGCTATTTGGACTCTCTCCTCAGACTCTATGCTACCAGCACTCATAGCTATCTTCGAGACACCACCGACTTCCTGAGGAAACTACAATGCATTGGTGATCTTCCATGGATGTAGAAGCTCTTTACACCAATATTCCACATGAGGATGGACTACAAGCTGTTCAAGAACAGTATCCTGATGAGGCCATGGCACACCTGGTGGCTGAGCTTTCTGACTTTGTCCTCACCCACAACCATTTCAGATTTGGGGACAACTTATACCTTCAAGTCAGTGGCACTGCTATGGGTACCCGCATGGCCCCACAGTATGCCAACATTTTTACGGCTGACTTAGAACAACGCTTTCTCAGCTCTCGACCCCTAGCGCCCCTCCTCTACTTGCCATTAATTTGGGCTTGAATAGGGACTGGGAGTGGCTGGCTCATTATAAAAGCAGCCCTGCCTCTCCTGGAATTGACACCTCCTCATCTATTATTGGGAGTGGACTACATCCACCCTGATCGAATTGGCCCTGTCAACACTGGTTCTCCTCTTGTGAGGTAAGTCCCTTCTCTTCATGTGTCATTATACAATGCCTGCATCTGAATTTTCACTCCATGCATCTGAAGAAGTGGGTTTTTTACCCACGAAAGCTTATGCCCAAATAAAGCTGTTAGTCTTTAAGGTGCCACCGGACTCCTTGCTATATTGTCTGTCACAACTTTTGTTTGAGTCTCTCTGATGAGAGGGAGTAAGTGTGTGCAGGCATTTCTGACAGCTCTTAGTTCCAAAAGATTGTTATGGAGGACCAATTCCATGAGAGACCACTTGCTCTGGATTTTGCGGTGATTTAGGTGGGCTTCCCATCCTATTAGAGAGGCATCTGTTGTTAGAATCAGTGTTGGTGGGGGTTGCGTGAAAGGGATGACTGCATAGATGTTGGATGGTTCTTGGATGTTGTTTGGTACAGAGGCGGTAGCTAGGTTGACAGAAGAATTCTTCTAATGCTATCTACACAGGGACTTTGGTCGGCTTAGCAACACTGGTTGAGGGCGTGGATTTTTCATACCCCTCATCAATGTAGTTAAACTAACTTAATTTTCTAGTATAGACTAGGCCAAAGTATCTCTGTGCCTTAGATCCCCATCTATGAAATAGGGATAGTTCTTCCCTATCTCACAGAGGTGTTGTAAGAATAAACTCATTAAAGTCTGTGAGGTGCTCACAGGCTATGCCAATGGGCCTTATAAGTACCTTAGATCATTGGTTTTCAATCTGTTGTCCGCAGACCCCTGGGGGCCCGCAGTCTATGTCTAAGATTTCCAAAGGGGTCTGCTCCTCCACTTGAAATTTTTTAGGGGTCCGCAAATGAAAAAAGGTTGAAAATCACGGCCTTAGACAGACTTATTGAATGTGATTAATATTTTCTTTACCAGCCAGCATATATATGTATTATTTTGTATTGTAGAATTTTATTGCATAACCTGCAAGAAGAGATTGAAAAACAATTTGATGGCAAGAGGAATTTTACTGGCAGACACAGTTACACAAAATACAATGACTGGGACAAGGTATGGTACAAAGCTTATGGATTTATGGGCAAATCCTGGCCTCCCCTTCACAGCTGCAGATGTCCCTTTGGCAAGACTTGTAGAGGACTCTCCAGCAGGATTTGAAAAGGCCACAGAGAAAGTGTATACCTTTTGCACAGAATGGGGCCCCATACCTGTGGGTTAATCATGTGCAATGGAGTTTGGGAACGGGACATTGTGGGGGAGAAGTGGGATCAGAGAATCTGCCACCATACAAATCCCTCTGCACAAAGGGAATGGGAGGACAGGGAGAAATTATTGAGAGGCCATTCCTGCTTCCAAGTAGCCACCAAGGAGCATCTCTGCAGCTCCCCTGAAGCCTTGAAGAGGGAAGGGGGAAATGAGATTGCTTCAATTTTCCCCTGTATATAACCCAAGCAGCCAGCCAAATTACTCAGGTTGGGGAAAGGACATTTAACCCTTTGAGACAAATGGAGCCCTGAATCAAGAAAACAAGAAAGCATGTGCTTACATCCTACTGGCTTAAAGGTAAGCATGTGATTACATGCTGCCCTGAATGAGGATGCTTTCCTGAATCAGTACTGTAAGCAGAGACAGTCTCCCTTTGATTGTGAATCATATTTAATCCAAAACTTGTCCAGTAACTGCACATAATTTATTAATCTAGATTGCTGCCTGGACTGCTAGAATTGCTAAAATTTATCCAAAACTGGTCTCCCGCATCCAGATTGGAAATACTTTTGAAAAGCAACCTATGTACCTCCTTAAGGTATGCATTTCTTTCCGGTGAGATTACGCACATGAAGAGTGGTTCAGATATTCAAATATCTTACCAATTAATTAAGTAGAGGTGAAAACAGCATCATACATAAATAATATTGCTCCAATCTATTAAATTTCCAATGTTAATATGAAGAAACACATTTAGATGACATATTGCCTTAGAGAGTGACCAGATTTAACACTGACACTGCAGTTGGGAAATAGCAATGGAGATATAGGGTTTGCAGAGGCAGATTGGATACTGCAGTGATGTCTGTGGTAAAAGGACCTGGACAGACAGATATAAGCCAATACTGAGTACATTAGCTATGGTCCCTTAAATATGGTCTAGATCAGGGGTCGGCAACGTTTGGCACAGGACGGCGAACCGCGGGCAGTGGGGGCCGCGATCGGTCAAACCTGCTGCATCAGCAGGTAAATAAACTGGCCCGGCCCGCCAGGGTGCTTACCCTGGCGAGCCGCGTGCCAAACGTTGCTGACCCCTGGTCTAGATGCTGAATACCTAACAAAAGATCTACCAAAATACACAGATCAGCGAGTCTTCATTTAGAGCCAAATCCTGTAAGCCTTACTTAGACAAGACTTCTGTGAGAAGGGCTCAAATCTCATGGATCACACCCATGGGGTGAGGATGGAGTGCTGCTCTCATAGCATTTCCCTCCTCTTTTGGGACCATGGAGAAACTCCTCTCCTGCGCAGGGACTCTGTTGCTGAGAGAAAGAGAAGTGGAAGAGAGGCCCAGCCACTTTCTGTGTTTCATACTGAGGCAATGGATATCCAATAAGGAGTTAATCCTGCTTAAAATAACATTTCCCATCAAGGCTTTTCAATTCTGTGTCAGAGGAGAAAGACATACAAAAATGCGGCAGCCAGTATAAAAGTGAACTGGGTTCTAGCCATACACAAAATACCCATGGTTTAAAAGCCCAGTAGTCTTGAATGTCAGTTACCCCATTTAGACTAGGGGCAAAATAAATGAGTTTGCAGACCACATTTTTAACACTCGATAAGTTTTCTGCACACAAAAACTATATACTTTCAGCGTGAATGACTTACTGTAGGTTAAGAGAAAACGATCAAAACAAAAAATAGTAAAGTCTTCATGAGACAGCAGCATGTTTCATGTCTCACGAAATGGCAGTTGCTTCTTCAGACAATAGTCTATGTGATTATATTTAAAGCAACCATAAAAGAAAACAAGATCATAGTAGTTATATAGCTGCAAGCTCCATAGTAGGTAACTAAACTGACATTTTCCTTCTACCATACAGAAGAGAGGGACAGGTTTCATGGCATCACTATTCATATCAGATCTGAATGTTCTAAATATAAAGTGCAGCATTCACTACTTTAGATACTTTTTTTTTTCTGTAAAGTTCTCTCAAAGGGCCACAGGCTAAGAGGGGCATGTTTTATCTTGTAGAAGTGTCACTGTGGGCTCTACTGGGCCCAGTTAACAGAGGAATAGCTCCACAACGAAGAAGAGTAACATCTTTGTCTTTGAGCAGGTTGGGAAGGAGAGCGGCAGGAAGAAGGCCATCTTCATGGACTGTGGGATCCATGCACGAGAATGGATCTCACCTGCATTCTGCCAGTGGTTTGTGAAGCAGGTGAGCAAACATGAGCTTATTCAGATAGTCCACATCCAGAATTTTGCTAGGGGTTATATCCTGGCCTACTTCCTTTGCTGTATGGAGTTATGTAGCCTAGCCATGCTCACTTATCACAGAGTACTACTTGTATCCTATGGTGGGTGCTCCACCAAGAGTAGCTAAATATCCTTTCCCCAGCAATTAAATGGAATGTGAAAGATATCTCATAGACTGTAATAACTGTTCTGTAGGAGAGGAGAAGAAAGCCAAATTGGAGACTTGCCCCTTTTCTCAGATGTGGCTGTTGTTGGGGTGGAGTAAGAGAAGCAGGATCTGAAAAAGGGTGGGGCCAGGAATGAGGGATTCAGGGTGTGGGAGGGGGCTCTGGGCTGGGGCAAGGGGTTGGGGTATGAGAGGGGGTTCAAGGATCTGGGCTGGGGGTGCAGGCTTTGGGGTGGGGCTGGGGATGAGGGGTTTTGGGGTGCAAGAAGGGGCTCCGGGTTTCAGGGGGCTCAGGGCTGGGGGCAGGGGGTTGGGATGCGGGCTTACCTTGGGCGGCTCCCAGTCAGAGGTGCAGAGGGGGTGCTAAGGCAGGCTTCCTGCCTATCCTGGCACCGTGGTCCGCACTGCACCCCGGAAGCGGCCAGCAGCAGGTCCGGCTCCTAGGCTGAGGCGCGCAAGCGGCTCCATGCGGCTCTCGCCCACAGGCACCGCCCCGCCCCCAGCTCTCATTGGCTGGTTCCCAGCCAATGGGAGTGCGGAGCAGTGCTCGAGGTGGGGGCAGCGCGCAGAGTCCCATGGCCCCCCACCTAGGAGCCGGACCTGTTGCTGGCCGCTTCCAAGGTGCAGCGCGGTGTCAGAATAGGGAGGAACTAGCCTGCCTTAGCCGAGCAGCACCGCCGACGGGACTTTTAACGGCCCGGTCAGCGTTGCTGACCAGCGCTGCAGCGACCCAGTACCTTACATTCCACGACCCAGTACTGGGTCGCAACCTGCAGTTTGAAAACCACTGCACTAACCATACTTCTATGTACGTGTCTCTCTCTTACAGGCAGCCAGGACCTATGGGAAGGACAAGATCATGACACATCTATTGGACAGTCTGAACTTCTATGTTCTCCCAGTGTTCAACATTGATGGCTATGTCTGGAGCTGGACTCAAGTACTACCCACATTTAGTTATTTTCTATCGCTCACCTATTTTAGTGTCTGAGAGTCATTAAGATTTTACATCCCCACTTAAAATAAAAACATCTCTCTAGGACCTTGAAGTTATTATTCTGCTTGGAAATAGTGACTATAATATAATAACATTTAACATTCCTGTGGTGGAAAGAACACCTCAACAGCCCAACACTGTGACATTTAATTTCAGAAAGGGGAACTATGCAAAAATGAGGAGGTTAGTTAAACAGAAATTAAAAGGTACTGTGACTAGAGTGAAATCCCTGCAAGCTGCATGGACACTTCTCAAAGACACCATAATAGAGGCCCAACTTAAATGTATACCCCAAATAAAAAAACACAGTAAAAGAACTAAAAAAGAGCCACAGTGGCTTAACAACCATGTAAAAGCAGTGAGAGATAAAAAGGCATCTTTTAAAAAGCAGAAGTCAAATCCTAGTGAGGTAAATAGAAAGGAGCATAAACACTGCCAAATTAAGTGTAAAAATGTAATAAGAAAAGCCAAAAAGGAGTTTGAACAACAGCTAGCCAAAAACTCAAAAGGTAATAACAAAATGTTTTTTAAGTACATCAGAAGCAGGAAGCCTGCTAAACAACCAGTGGGGCCCCTGAACGATCGAGATACAAAAGGAGCACTTAAAGACAATAAAGTCATTGCGGAGAAACTAAATGAATTCTTTGTTTCAGTCTTCACGGCTGAGGATGTTAGGGAGATTCCCAACCCTGAGCCGTCCTTTATAGGTCACAAATCTGAGGAATTGTCACAGATTGAAGTGTCACTAGAGGAGGTTTTGTTAAATTAATTGATAAATTTAACAGGAACAAGTCACCGGGACCAGATGGCGTTCACCCAGGAGTTCTAAAAGAACTCAAAGGTGAAATTGCAGAACTATTAACTATGGTTTGTAACCTGTCCTTTAAATTGGCTTCTGTACCCAATGACTGGAAGATAGCTAATGTAACGCCAATATTTAAAAAGGGCTCTAGAGGTGATCCTGGCAATTACAGACCGGTAAGTCTAACGTGAGTACTGGGCAAATTAGTTGAAACAATAGTAACGAATAAAATTGTCAGACACATAGAAGAACATAACTTGTTGGGCAAAAGTCAACATGGTTTCTGTAAAGGGAAATCATGTCTTACTAATCTATTAGAGTTCTTTGAAGGGGTCAACAAACATGTGGACAAGGGAGATCCAGTGGACATAGTGTACTTAGATTTCCAGAAAGCCTTTGACAAGGTCCCTCACCAAAGGCTCTGACGTAAATTAAGTTGTCATGGGATAAAAGTGAAGATCCTTTCATGGACTGAGAACTGGTTAAAAGACAGGGAACAAAGGGTAGGAATAAATGGTAAATTTTCAGAATGGAGAAGGTTAACTAGTGGTGTTCCTCAAGGGTCAGTCCTCGGACCAATCCTATTCAACTTATTCATAAATGATCTGGAGAAAGGGGGAAACAGTGAGGTGGCAAAGTTTGCAGACAATACTAAACTGCTCAAGATAGTTAAGACCAAAGCAGACTGTGAAGAACTTCAAAAAGATCTCACAAAACTAAGTGATTGGGCAACAAAATGGCAAATGAAATTTAATGTGTATAAATGTAAAGTAATGCACATTGGAAAAAATAACCCCAACTATACATACAATATGATGGGGGCTAATTTAGCTACAACTAATCAGGAAAGAGATCTTGGCATCATTGTGGATAGTTCTCTGTCCACGTAGTGTGCAGCGGCAGTCAAAAAAGCAAACAGGATGTTAGGAATCATTAAAAAGGGATAGAGAATAAGATGGAGAATATCTTGTTGCCTTTATATAAATCCATGGTACGCCCACATCTTGAATACTGCGTACAGATGTGGTCTCATCTCAAAAAAGATATACTGGCATTAGAAAAGGTTCAGAGAAGGGCAACTAAAATGATTAGGGGTTTGGAACGGGTCCCATATGAGGAGAGATTAAAGAGGCTAGGACTTTTCAGCTTGGAAACGAGGAGACTAAGGGGGGATATGATAGAGGTATATCAGATCATGAGTGGTGTGGAGAAAGTGAATAAGGAAAAGTTATTTACTTGTTCCCATAATATAAGAACTAGGGGGCCACCAAATGAAATTAATGGACAGCAGGTTTAAAACAAATAAAAGGAAATTATTTATCACACAGCGCCCAGTCAACCTGTGGAACTCCTTGCCTGAGGTTGTGAAGGCTAGGACTAGGGTTTAAAAGAGAACTAGATAAATTCATGGAGGTTAAGTCCATTAATGGCTATTAGCCAGGATGGGTAAGGAATGGTGTCCCTAGCTCTGTTTGTCAGAGGTTGGAGATGAATGGCAGGAGATCACTTGATCATTACCTGTTAGGTTCACTCCCTCTGGGACACCTGGCATTGGTCACTGTTGGCAGACAGGATACTGGGCTGGATGGACCTTTGGTCTGACCCGGTATGGCCATTCTTATGTTCTTATGTTATGTTCTTAGAGTACAATACTGTAACAAACTGTTTAATAGACCCAGGATTCCCTTAGATTGCCAAAACTTCCCTCTAGTGTAAAGTAATGCACGTTGGAAAAAATTATCACAACTATACATACAAAATGATGGGGTCTAAGTTAACTGTTACCACCCAAGGAAGATCTAGTTGTTATTAGGATATTAGGAACCATTAGGAAAGGGATAGATAATAAGACTGAAAATATAATAATGCCACTATATAAATCCATGGTACACACACACCTTAAATATTGTGTGCAGTTCTGGTCACCCCATCTCAAAAAAGATGTATTAGAATTGGGAAAAGTACACAGAAGGGCAACAAAAATGAGTAGGGGAATGGAACAGCTTCCATATGGGGAGCAATTAAAAAGAATGGGGCTGTTCAGCTTAGAAAAGAGACCAACTAGGGGGGGATATGGTAGAGGTCTAAAAAATCATGAATGCTGTGGAGAAATTAAATAAGGAAGTGTTGTTTACCCCTTCGCATAACACAGGAACTAGGAGTCACCTGAATAAATTAATAGGCAGCAGCTTTAAAAACACGCAAAAGGAAGTACTTCTTCATACAATGCACAGTCAATCTGTGGAACTCATTGCCAGGGGACATTGTGAAGGCCAAAAGTATAACTGGGTTCAAAAAATGAATTAGATAAGTTCATGGTGGATAGGTCCATCAATGGCTACTAGCCAAGATGGTCAGGGATGCAACCCCATGCTCTGGAAGTCCCTAAACCTCCAACTGCCAGAAGCTTGGCCTGGACGACAGGAACTGAATCACTCAAAATAGTCCTGTTCCGTTCATTTCCTTTGAAGCATCTGGCACCGGCCACTGTCAGAAGACAGGCTACAGGGCTACACGGATCATTGCCCTGAGCCAATATGGCTTTTTTATGTTCTTGTTCAGGACTGAGAATCACATCATTTTCCATATGGAGGATCATAGGTTTTTTATTTTTAGTTCATGTCACTACCAAAACCTTAGGATAAAATTAACCCAGGTAAAGTAGGAGGGCTTGATCAAAGTCCTTGATACCATATAAGTCCCTCATTGACCTTTTGTGGAGATGGGGAAATGGATGAAGAGGTAACACAGCCAGTCCTTTGCATCTTCTGCTAATCATAGTGGGGCTCTACGCTGGCTCTGAATAGGCTGGTGCAGAGAATACTATTTAAGTTGGAATGGGATGGCGATACCTGATCCACACTTACACCAATCCAATTGCCCCAACCCCATGCATAGGGGACACCAAAAGCTGTGCCCCTTCTTCAGACAACAGTGGGGGCCGCGCTGTGTTGCAGTCCATGGACTGGCTGTGGGGGGTAGATTCTATCCCCTGCCCCTATACAAGCTTGATTACATGGGTTACATGGAGCAGGGGGTATATATGAATTTCACCCATTAATAATTACTTCATTGCTTCTCAAATATGATAGATTGTTCTAAGATCAGAACAGGACGCTTTCTCTTTGTATTCTCCGCAGCTCTTAGTACTTTATCTGCAGTCACATCAGGCCCTGTGTTTATAGTTACTTGAAACCATCATATACAGCCAGCTGGGAACTGAAATCCAAGCAAATGGGAAGAAAAATGCCTGTTCTAATTGTTCAGTTCTTTGCTAACACATTGTAGACTTGAGGTACAGTTCATGCTTTGGAGACTCAGATTGACACAGGAAAAATTAATTAGCTGTGCATTCCCAGTGGACTGCTTTTCCTTTGACTGGTATTGTCTTTTATTTTAAAGATGAAAGTCCTCCTGTTAACCATGTAGATTTTAGACAAGTTCTGAATCAATTTTTACCTTTCACAATGTGCCCAATCTGAGAAAATAAGGAAGATGAGGTTTAAATACTTCAATCATTTTGTCTTGCAGGATCGCATGTGGAGAAAGAACCGTTCCAAAAACTCCAGCACCAACTGCACTGGCACTGACCTGAACAGGAACTTTGCTGCTGCGTGGGGCAGTAAGTAATTTAACTAAAATAAAGAAGATATTAAAACTAATCAGCAGGAGTTGGTTGATGATGTGGGTAAATTGGTCAGTCAATGAAAATGAAGAAGTTTAATATTCCAATTAACACTTAACTAAATTTAGGCTGTAATTCAAATAATGATAAACTGTGAATACAAATCTTATTTGCAGCTACTGGTTTCATCTCAGATGACCCGTGTGATGAAACCTACTATGGACCTGCACCAGAGTCAGAGGATGAGACTAAAGCTGTTGCCACCTTCATTCGTAACCACCTATCTTCCATCAAGGCGTACCTGACCATCCATGCTTATTCTCAGATGCTGTTGTTCCCTTATGGCTATACTTTCCATAAAGCACCTAATCACAATGAACTGGTATGTAGAGAAAAATAGACCCATGATGAGTTTGTAAGGGCTGAATTTGATCTCACACATCGCTGACTTCAGCAGAGCTACTCATGATTTATACCAGGATAAATGAAATCAGAATCAGCTTGGGTAGCTTACTCATGTAAACTTTTGGAAACTATGAATCCAGTCATCTGAGGCCTGGTCTACACTGGCGGGGGGGGAGATCGATCTAAGTTATGCAACTTCAGATACGTGAATAACGTAGCTAAAGTCAACGTACACCTCTACCCCGATATAACGCTGTCCTCGGGAGCCAAAAAATCTTACCGCGTTATAGGTGAAACCGCGTTATATCGAACTTGCTTTGATCCACCAGAGTGCGCAGCCCCGCCCTCCCGGAGCGCTGCTTTACCGCGTTTTATCCAAATTCGTGTTATATCAGGGTAGAAGTGTACTTAGATCTACTTACCACTGTGTCTTCACTGTGGTAAGTCGACAGCTGACGCTCCCCCGTCTACTCCACCTGTGCTTCTCGCTCCGGTGGAGTCCCGGAGTCAATGGGAGAGCGCTCGGCAATTGATTTATTGCGTCTAGACTAGAGGTGATAAATCGACCCCCGCTGGATCAGTCGCTGCCCATCAATCCAGCACGTAATGTAGACATGTCCTTAGATATCGAGACCTTCACATGGGTTCTTGTGTGCCTTCAACTCCCATTTAAAGCTGGTGAAAATTTTTCGACTGAAACTTTTTAAAAAAATCTATGACTTTTATTAAAATGTGAAATTTTCACATCTTTATTTGCTTATTTTTTTATGGAATTGGAAAATGAAACATTTAGTCAGTTTTTCTTTTTCTTGTTTTCTTTTCAATTTAGTATTTTTTCTTTTTTAGAGGCAAAATAGGAGAAGGAAATAAAGGTGGAAAGAGGAAAGAGGGAGAAATAGGGAAAATAAGATAACTTAGTTTTTTCCATATTCTGTTTTCAACAAATCTTGTGAAATATTTCAAATAATCAAAAACATTTCTTTTCAAAAGATGTGGAATAAACACAACTTCAAGTTACTTGTGGTTTTCTCCCTCCCCATTATCTAACCAGCTCTGCTCCTATTATCTACACAGACATCCATCAGCACCTCAGAGGAGGAGATCAGACCCCTCTCTACATTTGCAGCCAAACTCAACCTTTTCTTACCGGATCACTGTCAAATTTAACAAGCTCCAAACTGCACCCTCTCTAAATGCCCACCCAATAAAGAAAATATATATATATATATACCCCGAACCCTCCAATGTAAGTGTCTCCTTCAGCTGCTTGCTTAGCTAGGCAATCCAACAACAAAGCCATGATTATTAGATTGGCTGGACCTTTTTATTAGCTGCTTTTGCCCCATTTCTCTATTTGCCAGATGCAGGTGATCATCTCCTGTTAAATATCAGATTTTATAGTAATTGTTCCTTAAGTGAATTTAGAAAGGTGATGGGCTGATCTAGAGCAAGCTCCTCGATAGGGATAGAGGCCTGCTTTCTGAGTCCTTAACCTCTCAAGTAAGACTGCCACAATGGCATTTGTGGTTTGGACACGATAGGAAATATCCTAAATCCACCAAATGAAAAATAAAACTCGCCACTAAACAACAACAAATGTCTAATCTTTCACTACTCTACCAATTTGTGCCACATTCAAACCAGTGATTTAGGCCTGAGGCACTACTGCAGTTTTATTCCAAGTTAACTCCAAAGGAGTAACACCAATGCAGAACTGGAGTAATACAAAAGGATCCTCATCCAATTACCGAGCACCTCAATCTTTGTAATCCTTCTTCCAAAAGCTACTGAATGATGCCACAGAATAAGTGATTCCTTGATGACCATTTCCTTGGCCACTTTTGCTTTGAACTTAATTTGTAACACTGCTCTACAGCCAAAATGCTTCTGAAATAAATGTAGTCA